GGAAAGCCGCTCCTGCACCCGGTGCGGCCTGGGCACCCCCTCCCCCTGCTGGTGCCTGCCTGCGGGCATCACCATGCCCCGATGCCTGACTACAGCTGCCTGAAGCCACCCAAGGCCAGTGAGGAAGGGCCCGAGGGCTGCTCCTATGTGCTGTGCCCCGAAGGCAGGTACGGCCATCCAGGGTACCCTGCCCTGGTGACCTACAGCTACGGAGGGGCCGTTCCCAGTTACTGCCCGGCGTATGGCCGGGTGCCTCATAGCTGTGGACCTCCAGGCGAGGGCAGAGGATATTCCAGCCCTGGCACCCACTCCCCACGGGCTGGCTCCACTTCCCCTGGCAGCCCGCCCTACCCACAGTCCAGGAAGCTGAGCTATGAGATCCCTGCAGAGGACGGAGGAGACAGGTACCCGCTGCCTGGGCACCTGGTTTCATTTTTTCTCGGCATCTGCAGGTGAGGGCCATGGAGAGCTGGAGAAGTCAAGGAGCAAAGGGTGAGAGAGAACTAAGCCACACAGAAGGGCCCATTCCTACTCACGGACCCCCTTCCGCCCCCACACTGCAGAGTCGACCCAGCCAGTGTCCTGGAGGGAGGGCCCCAGCGGGCACAGCACACTGCCTCGGTCTCCCCGAGATGCCCAGTGCAGTGCCTCTTCAGAGCTGTCCAGTCCGTCCACGCCCCTGCACACCAGCAGCCCAGTCCAAGGCAAGGAGAGGTAAGCAGAGGGGCGGGGGTACCCAGGTGCTTCCTTGTCCGAGCAGGCAGTGTGGGGTGAGGGTGCTCAGAGCTGGGCTCTGCTGACCACCTGCCCTTCGCCCTGCAGCACCCGACGACAGGACACCAGACCTCCCACCTTGGCGCCCCCTCAGAGACCGAGCCCTGGCGAGGCCTTGCCCTCTGCTTCCCAGGGAAACACTGAAAAGCCTTCTGAGCTGCCGGCCAGCAGTGGGCCTGAGCCTCGGGGGCCCAGCCCCTTTTCTCCGACCTCCCCTCCCAGCTCGCCCAGTGACTGGCCTCAGGAAAGGAGCCCAGGGGGCCGCTCAGACAGCGCCAGTCCTCGGAGCCCGGTGCCCACCACACTGCCTGGCCTGCGCCATGCACCCTGGCAGGGACTTCGAGGCCCCCCAGACAGCCCTGACGGTTCTCCCCTCACTCCTGTGCCAACCCAGATGCCCTGGCTGGTGGCCAGCCCAGAGCCCCCACAGAGCTCACCCACACCTGCCTTCCCTGCAGCTACGTCCTATGACACCAACGGGCCTTCCCAGCCCCCACTTCCTGAGAAACGCCACCTGCCAGGGCCTGGGCAGCAGCCAGGACCCTGGGGCCCCGAGCAGGTGTCACCACCACCCGCCAGGGGCACCAGTCACCATGTCACCTTCGCACCTCTGCTCCTGGATGGTGCCTCCCTGCCCCCAGGTATGAAGGCCTTGGGAGGGTGGGAGTGGGATGTCTTGAGGGTAACCTTCCCCCAAGGAGGGGATGGCATGGGATGGGTCTGAACTCAGCAAGCCCCTCCCTGACCTAGAACCCCCTACGCAAGAGAGCCAAAGCAACGTCAAGTTTGTCCAGGATACATCCAAGTTCTGGTACAAGCCACACCTGTCACGTGACCAAGGTGAGAAGCCAGCCTGCCTACACCCCACTTCGCCCTCCAGGGTTTCTGTCTTGGATTTTAAGTCCCATCCTAGTCAAGCCCTTGGCTCCGCTTGTCTCAACTGCACTGACCCTGTAACTGAGCCTGGGCATTGGGCCCCAGGAGGCTGGCATCCTCCCAGCCCGTCATTGCTGAGGTTCTGGCCCCAGGCTACCCCCTCCACAGCCCGGTGCAAGTGCAAGAGGGTGGGGAGCTTGTCAACAGAGGAGCCGCTGCGTGGGCTCTGTGGGCCACTGAAGATGCCTCCTCCCTGCCCCCCTACCCCCCCCACCACCACCCTGCAGCCATCTCCCTGCTGAAGGACAAGGACCCTGGGGCCTTCCTGATCAGGGACAGCCATTCATTCCAAGGAGCTTATGGACTGGCCCTTAAGGTGGCTACACCCCCACCCAGCGCCCAGCCCTGGAAAGGTACAGAAAGCCTTGACCTGAGGGAAGGGGGTGCATGGAGCCAGGGGAAGGCCTAGAGGCAAGAAGATGAAGAGGGGAGGACTTACACCCCATGGGGGAGAAGTGGGAAACCTGAGGTCTAATGACGCCTTACTCCCCTCAGGGGACCCCTTGGAGCAGCTGGTTCGCCATTTCCTCATTGAGACTGGGCCCAAAGGGGTGAAGATCAAGGGCTGTCCCAGCGAGCCCCACTTTGGTGAGCAGCAGCAGCCCTGGAGGCTGCACTGGGCTGGTTTAGGAGAGGCCCAGGGACCTCCAGAGGTGAGGGGAAGCGAGGTGTCTGGCCTCTCAGGACTCTGGTCGTCCCCCACAGGCAGCCTGTCCGCCCTGGTCTCCCAACACTCCATCTCCCCCATCTCCCTGCCGTGCCGCCTGCGCATTCCCAGTAAAGGTGGGTGCTCACCATCTGCACCCAGACGGGATCCCAAAGGTCCTAGCTCCAGCCTTCCTTGGGGACAGCTGCTGACCTTCCCGACCGGCCCCGGCTTCCCTCAGATCCCCTGGAAGAGACCCCAGAGGCTCCAGTGCCCACCAACATGAGCACGGCGGCCGACCAGGGCGCTGGTACAGACTCCCCTCTCTCCTGTGGCAGCAGGGCGGGGTGGGGGGTAGCGCTGACACAGACACTAGACACTGAGGTGGTGGGCCCTGGTGATGCATTTAGCCCACAAAGGCGGGGTGCCCCATTTTGCGTGGGGCTGTGGGAGTCCTCAGCCTAGGCCCTCAGTCACAAACAGGAGACATCGGGGTGGAGGGAAAGAACCTTGCAGAGTGCAGGTCTTCAGGCCTCTTCCGGCATCTCTGCCCCAGCCCTGGTGAGGCCGTGGCATCTGCCTTAAGTCAGCCTATGTGATTCTAAGGCATTCTGACAGCACTAGCTGGGGAAAGTGCAAGAGCTGGCTCGGGGGGCTGGTCGGTGACAGGAGCCCTGGGGGCAGAGCCCGTGTCCCCTCCCAACCTGCTTTCCTGCCTGTAGCCTGCAGCGTGCTCTACCTGACCTCAGTGGAGACAGAGTCCCTGACGGGCCCTCAGGCCGTGGCCCGGGCCAGCTCTGCGGCTCTGAGTTGCAGCCCCCGCCCAACACCAGCTTGTGTCCACTTCAAGGTCTCAGCCCAGGGCATCACACTGACAGACAACCAAAGGAAGTGAGTTGCATGCCCAGCCCAGGTGGAACCCTGCCCTGAAGGCCCCTGAGCGTGCCGGCTGCCAAGCGTGACCTTCCTCACCCTCTTCCCTGCAGGCTCTTCTTTCGCCGCCATTATCCAGTGAGCAGCATCACCTTCTCCAGCACTGACCCTCAGGACCGCAGGTGACCCTCTCTCCAAGTCCTTCCCCTCAGCCAGGGCCCCACCTGGCACCAGCCCACTCCCCTTACCTGTGAGTGCCAAGTACACACCTTCACAGTTCCTCTCCTCCTGCAGATGGACCAACCCAGACGGGACCACCTCCAAGTAAGCCTCCCAAGGGCCCCTGTTCCCTCTGGGGCAGCAGGCACGGCCATCCTCCCTCACTGGCGTTTGAGTCAGCCCACCCAAAGCCAACTGCAGTCCCCATGGAACATGTGCTAAGCCCCGTCCCACCCCGGCTTTGTCTCCCTAGGATCTTTGGTTTCGTGGCCAAGAAGCCAGGAAGCCCCTGGGAGAATGTGTGTCACCTCTTTGCCGAGCTTGACCCAGATCAGCCTGCGAATGCCATTGTCACTTTCATCACCAAAGTTCTACTGGGCCAGAGAAAATGAAGGCAGGCCACCAGCTCAGAGCCCACATCAACACTGTGCCCCTCCTAGCACCCGACAGCCCTCACTTCCCCTGGCCTGACCCTCCCTTAGGAACGGGGAGTGGGCAACAGCCTGGGGCACTGCTCCTCCCCACCCCAGCCTGCTAAGCTACGTGGACAGGCCCATGGATGACCTTGCATGTGAGCAGACGGCAGAGATGGTGTGTAAGGGGTGAGGAGGCATCAGCGGTTCGGAGCTGAGGGGGTTTCCCAAGCAGCCACCAGCCATCCAGGGGAATGGGCCCGGCCAGCCCCACCCAGCTGCAGGTCCCAGCATGGTGGGAGAGGGGAGAGGTCACTCCCGCCTCTGCCTTCCCCTCTCAGCAAAGATCAGAGTGGGATCATATGAACAGGGGAAAAAGAGAGTCTATTTTTGTCTATTAATAAAGAATTTCTATAAACTAGCCGGAGTTGGAGTGGTGCCTTATGCACAGGCAGGGAGGAGCTCGTGCCCCCCAGGGGCACACCTGTGCTTCCTGCAGTATCCCAGGCCCGGGCTCGTGAACCCTCAGCTGCCCTGAGAACGAGCTGCCCTGCCCTTCCAGCCCCACTGCTCTACGGCTGGCAAGCATTCCCATTCTGGCGTTCGGATAAATATGGAAACTCCATCTTTACTGGTTGTATAAACATCTCTGGTCTGTACATACATTTCATACATCACGGAGCAGGGCTTGAGGGAGGGCCGAGGGGGAGCCCCAGCAGCACAACAGCTCACCCCCACTCTCCCCACTGCCCCACCCACTCTGTGCAAACCAAGGCCAACAGCTCCTGCAACCTCTGCCTCCCAAGAGAGGTCACTGTTAGGGGAGGGGCTTAGGGGTCATGGGGTAAGAGACAGGAAGGCTTGATGGGGGAGGACAGGGGAGGACAAATGTAAGTGCTAGAATCAAACACTGAAGCAAAACAGGTAACTGGCACAAGCAGCAAGCTGGGGCGTGGGGGCAGGATGGGGCAGGTAAAGGGGACCGGGCCGGCTGCCCCTCTGGGTTTACTAAAGTAAGGGCCTAGAGTCCTTCTCTCACCATGGTAGGCGAGGCAGGCCCCAGGGCCTCAGCCTTCATCCCAAGGCACTAGGGACAAGGGTGCCAAGGGTGAGCAGAGGATGGAGGGGGAGACTGGAGCAACGGCCCCGGGCCCCAAGCCGCCTCACAGCCTTTTCCTACACATGTCGTAGGCACCCAGGCAGTCCCTCAGTTCTCTGTGGGACTGTGGCCTGAACAGGTGGGGCAGAAGCCAGCTCTCGGGGAAGAATGGAGACCCTGGAGGACTCTTCTGGGGACAGTAGCCAGGGAAAGAAGAGAGATGGCCCAAGAGAGGTTCCCCAGCCCAGCCAGGGGGCATGACAGCAGCAACTGGCTCACAAATGAGGACAGGGTACAAACAGTGGATTCCAGGAGAAACACTGTGGTAAGGGGGAGAGGCTGTCTCCACTCCACCCTCCGCAAACAGCAGCTGAGACAGGGCGCTCACCCCTCTCCACTCCCACGGGGCAACGAGGGAAAGGGGGTCCAGGAGCCCACTGACTGAAGCAGGCAGGACCCACCCCCCATATATCAACACCATGCTTGGGCCCTATGCTGTCCAAGCAGGGACTTGGGCCCAATAGTCCTGGGTGATAGAAGCAGCACCAGGCCAGAAACATGGGCACACAGGAGCTTGACGGGGGGCCTGAACAGACAATGGGCAGAAAGATTCTGCACCCCCAGGGCCTGCTGGGTAAGCAAATCTCAGGGAACTCAGGAGCTGGCTGCCTGGTCCTGCAAGGGGTGAGGATGGGGAAGGGGCGGGTCTGGGGGAGAAGCCCTTAGCCACTCAAGGGATGTAGATCGACTTTGACTTTCTCCCCACAGCTCAGCATTCCAATGGTGGGGAAGAAGCCTCCAGAAGGTACAACAGCATCCTTCTTCCCGATGATCTTGCCATTCCGGGTGAAGAACACCTGAGGGGGATGGCGGGAGGAGGAATGGAGCAGGCGCGCTCTGGCCTCTTCTCTTACATAAGCCACAAGCCCCATCTCTTCCCAAGTCCCACAAAGGACGGCGGGGAGACACTTACGGTGATGTGGGAAGTGACCACAAGAGGGCGTCCTGAGGCTGGAAAACAGCCTTCTCACCACACAGCCACCCATCTCAGGGCTCTGCCACTTCCCAGCACTCCTGACTGTCGCCCGACATTTCTCACCCTGGCACAGAGTTCTTTTCCCCACTGACACTGCCTCACCCCGGCACAAGAACCCCAGACCCACCCCAGTCTCTGCTTACCACCACCTTCTTGCCCTCATGCTCCTGCTCAATCTCTTCCCCGTCTTCTTCCTCTTCCTCTTCTTCCTCTTCTTCTTCCCCTTCCTGGTGCAGGTACATGACATTCCGAACGTTCCGGACGGCCCGTGCGGTTGGGGACAGGATCACTGTGTCACAACTGTCATCACTGTCTCCTAGGAGACCAGGAAAACTTGGATGCCTGTGGTCCTCCCCTTCCCTGGCCCCTGCAGCCTAGCCAGCCAGCCCCAGCCCACTCACCCTCGCTGTCCAGAATGTAGTCCCGGGGGAACATGATCCCACAGCCCATAATGTCGCCTTTGTAACAGCGTGGCCCGAAGGGGTCTCCCACGCCACTGCCATGGAAGATCTTCCCATCATCTGTTGGAAGGTGGAAGAGGACACTTACTTTAAGGAGGAGGGGCTGACGCCACACCCTAGACTAGCCTCTGCTTGGAGTCGAACATGTCCCTATGCCCCCAGCTGGCTCAGAGGAAGGATGAGGCCATGGTGACACAAAGATGGAGCGACAGGCCCAGCTGAGAGGAGGGTGCCATCGTGACTGGGGATACATGGAGGCCCAGACTCGGCTCCTGGCCTGACCTAAACAGACCAGGTGTGGTGGTGCCCGCCTGTGGTCCTAGCTAACTACATAGCTGGGGCGGGAGGATCAGGACATGCTGACAGCCGCTCCACCTCCGCCCCTGCCTCCCACTCTCTCTCATTAAAAATAAACAAACAAAGATGGAGACAGATGTGGGAAGGAAACACAGATAAAAAGAGACACGATGCCTGTTAGCTCAAGGGGGCTACGGGGACACCTCCTCAGGGAAATGGCAGCAAGAGGATGTGGCCCTTAGCAAAGGAAGTATGGGGGTGGTCCTTTTCTAAAGTAAACCCTGAAAGAAATCAAGAAAAAAAAAAAAAAAAAAAAAAAAATAAAGAAGAAAGAAAGAAAGAAAGAAAGAAAGAAAGAAAGAAAGAAAGAAAGAAAGAAAGAAAGAAAGAAAAGAAA